GATGTAGCCATCGCCACGGCTCTAACTGCACCTGTCTCTAACACTTGTTCCGCAGTTGCTGCTGCCTCCCTAGCAGTCTCTAAATGTCGGGTCTTTGCTTCGGCCCTGGACCTTCTCTCATCCTCTGGTAGTAAACCCTAAAACACTACCTGTATCCTTCGTGTATCCTGCCGTGTTTGCCTTCTATCGTCAATTATGCCTTCACCACTATCTGAATCGCTCATCAGCTAACCAGACACCGTCTGCACTAGTGCCCTCACTAGGGTCTACCACAACATGTGTCTGACCGGTTGAAAAATAATTAAAAATAAATTAATATCTGACAAATCGCGTAGGCTACCTTCAAGCAGTATCAACAACATATACACCTGTGTGTACCCCCGCACGTATATTGGGCGTACAAGCGGCCCATACGACCGCATTTATGGGCCCCCAGACGGTCGTATGGGCAGTACGGTCGTATGGGCAGTACGGTCGTACGAGCCGTTTCGGCGGCCTTCCCGGGGTGTGGGTTCACATCAAAGGGGGGGTGGGGGGGTCGGGGGCTACCCCCCAGAGTAAAAGAAAATGAAAAAAAAAAAAAGTTTGTTCGGGGGTTGGGGTGGGGAATTAAAATAAAAATAAAAATTAAAGGATTGATTGATTGAGTGAGTGGGTGATTGATTGAGTGATTGTTGATTGATTGATTGATTGATTGTTTGATTGATTGATTGATTGATTGATTGATTGACTGATGATTGGTTGATTGATTGGTTGGTTGATTGATTGATTGATTGATTGATTGATTGATTGATTGATTGATTGATAGATTTAGTAATTGCAAGGAAAATGAGCGATATCGAATTCCAGAAACCAAACAGCAACATCATACACATGAAACCAGATAATCGTGACCTCGAACCAAAAGCAGAATTGCGACTTGAGTTCACAAATGACAATGTGGGAATAGTCTCATCATCGTCAACAATTAACCAATGTCGATTCCCTATCTGGCTCTCAGCGCCCAGACTACGAATGGCAGATCGTATCTAGTCTATCTACAACACCGCTGGTGACGTCAACAAATTTCCCGAAGTACGGGCAGATCTCGACCGATGTCGATCGCCTCAAGCACCAGGTATGTCTCATGCTTCACTCACACCCTGGATCTCCCACACAGATGCCACGTGAACCAAAGGACCACCATGCGCCCTATCCAACATCTCGCAGGCCAGCTCGGCTATGGCTGCCTGCGTGTGCCCTGCTCGCCCGTGAGCGCGTGGGTGCTTGCCTACCAGTAGCGCAGCGGAGCTGGCACAGCAAATAGCAAGTGCCCGAATGTGGCATGCAGAGGCAGGCAATTTCTTTTATCCAAGTGGCCTACCTGCTGCGTGCTTCTTGGCTGCACTGGGCCCCTGCCCAGAAGCTTCCAGTAGGCCCCAAGTGGCTGAGACCCTGACCCAGGGAATCTAATGAAGGGCCTCGGGTGGTTACTCGTGTCCAACTGCTAGCGGCCTGTGTTCAGTCCATGCCCCGTGTCTGGCCCAGGGCCTGCCTAAGATTCATTTGGAAAAAGACAGGCAGGGCCTGGGCTCGCTCAACCAACTGGCGCTGCGCAACAGCCTGAATTTCCCAGGTGCATTCAACCCAGCAAAAATAGGCCTCTCGTGCCTTGCCAGACCCGCCTTCACTTAGGCTAGCCATTCTGGCTGAAACAGGGCCCAATAGGGCTTATCGAGGCCTTGAGTCTCGCATTCCCTCCTCCATACTTCGACAGTCCTCTGAGAAGTTCAATTATTCAATCTGGCGCTTTCCTTTCAGCAGCAGTTTCTTATACTGAGCACCAACCTGTGGCGCAGTCTGCATCAGTTCCTTCCGTGTAAACCATATGTCCTCCTTTGGATCAATGTGATGTCTGAACCGAACGCGATACTGCATCTTCGGCTTCGGAGGACGGCCCCTGCCTATTGTTTTCGACCTCTCCATCCATGCTTGGGGGTAGCATTGAGCGACGAGAGGGAAACTGATCAGTTTCTTTGAAAGGTGCGAGCTTGGAGGCGTGGAAGACAGGGTAGGTGCGAAGGTGATCAGGGATCCGAATTACATACAATGGCCCATCCAGATCATTCCCAACAACATCTAGAACTTCCCATGGCCCGAAGTATTGTGGCATGAGCGACCCAGTTCAGAGGCTTTGACCTAAACTATGTCCCCTACCTGGAATGTAGATGGGCGACAGTGATTGTTCTCATATTCTATCATTGCCGCATGTGCTCTATGCATCTATTCTACAGCTTGCTGCATCGGGCATTCATATCGATAGGCGAATTCTAAGGTGACTAGTGCAGCGGCCGGCTGGTTCTCGGATAGCAGAAAGTCTAGGGGCAGTCTAGGCTTAAAGGTCAGCAGTAGACTGTTAGGGCTCACCCCTACTGCATTGTGCACAACGTTGTTGTAGAGACTGGCGATGAGAGCAAGTTTCTCATCCCAATCCACCTGGTTAGGCTTGATATAGTGCCTCAGCAAGTGTTGTACAGCGCGGTTCAGTTGCTCTGCTTGCCCGTTTGCCTCTGGGTGGTTCCCGGAGGTCATCTGCAGTTGTGTCCCTTGTTCTGCAGCTGCAGCTTTCCACAATTCACTAGTGATTCGCAAATCTCGGTCACTAACTATAGACTTTGGCAGTCCAAAATCTCCGACCTAGTGTTTTTTGAACAACTTAATTACGTACTCGGTCCTGGCTGTCTCGGGCATTGCGACCAACCTAGCATACTTACTAAATCTATCCACAATGACAAAGACGTATCGCATACCCCTCTTGTTGGTGACCAGCGTGTCCATGAAATCCCTGGACATGCTCTCACCGGGCCTTTCCGGAATCGGAAGGGGCTTGAGGAGCCCAAGAGGGGCCTGTGTACGGGGCTTGTCTCTCTGGCACACCTCACAAGTCTCCACGTACAGCTTGGCATCTCTCGTCATTGTGGGCCACCAAAACTGCTGCAGCAAGTTTGTTGTAGTCTTCTTATAATCAAAATGTCTTGTGGCGTCGACATTCACCTAAAAATAAACTACACAAAGACTCCCGGTTAGGCACACATAAACGTTTATTGAACTTCATTCCTAACCTTTTCGAGGAACAACAGGCCATTGACCAACATAAACGCGTCAGAAGTCACTTTGTCCTTCGCCTCGTGCCTACGTATGATCTCTACCATAAACCGATCCTCGTGATAGACTTCCACCAAGGATCGAGTACCATCGTCCACAAGCCCAAACTCAGTGATCAGCGCACCAAGGAAGTCTGGCCTACGTGACAGCGCATCAGCAACCTTAATGTACTCTCCTTTGATGTACCGAGGTTCGAAGTCATACCACTTTATGACTTCAATCCAGCGCTTCAGCGCATCGGAGAGCACAGGCTGGGTCCTCATCCACTTTAGGGTCTGATGATCAGTCCTGAAGTAGAAGAACCTCCCAAGGAGATAGTGTCTCCTGTGGGTTAGCACCTTGTAGATCACATAAAGCTACTTCTCATAGGTGGACTTAGCCAACTTCTGAGAGGGCATCTTTTTGGACATGTACTCGACCGGCCTCAACTTTGCCCCCTCTTGCTGTGGAAGCACAACACCAATGCCATATTGGCTGGCATCCGTGGTTACTATAAATGGCTTGTAAGGATCAGGAAGTCTCAAGACCTCATGGTGTGTTAAGGAGTGCTTCAGATGTCTGAAAGCAGCCTCACACCTGTCTTTCCACTCCCACGAGGTGTCAAGGCGGGTAAGGTCTGTCAAAGGTGCGCCCACTATACTATAGTTCTTTACAAAATTGCGGTCATAGGAGAAAAGGTTAACCGCTTGTGGTCGGTCATCCCTAAGAAGGACCTCATCTCAATCACAGACTGAGGACTAGGCCAGTCACGAATGCTGGCCACCTTCGCGTCATCGGGCTTCAGTCCCTCAACGGAAATCTCATGACCCATATACAAGATCCGGGTGCGGCCAAACTCGCACTTCTACCGATTGATCTTGAACTGGTGTTGCTGAAGGAGGCTAAGGACTTTGTCTAGATGGGCTACATGCTCCTCGACAGTCCTACTAAAGATAAGTATGCCATCAAGGTACATGATTACAAACTTGTCCAAGTAGTCATGAAAGATCCGGTTCATAGCGTGTTGAAAGGTGCCAAGAGCATTGCAAAGGCCGAAAGGCATCACCACAACTCGTACAGACCGTACCTGGTCTGAAAAACGGTTTTGTGTTGATCTTTGGGCCGAATGCAATTTGATGGTACCCAAACTTTAAATCTATCTTACAGAAGTACCGACACCCTTGCCCTCGGTCCAACAAGTCATTGATGCGCGGTAGGGGCTCTGCGTTCTTTACTGTGATGGCATAGAGGTCCCCATATTCAATGCAAATCCTCAATGTTCCCCCCTTCTTCGGTACAAATAGGACAGGAGATCCATAAGGGGAAACACTAGGTCGGACCCAACCCTTCTCTATGAGTTCCTTGAGTTATCGGCGAAGCTCATCGAGCTCCGCTGGAGACATCCGATAGATCCTACCCTTCAGAATACTAGACCCTGTGATAATCTCTATCGCGTGGACGACCTCCCTCTCAAAACCCTTTTTGGCTCTTCAAATAGATCTGGGTACATAGAGACCACTCCCTCTATCTCGGGAAGCATTTTCAGCGGCTCACACTCTACAGAAACATAAGCTAAGTACATACCCTCCTCCGGATTTTGCTTATCATAATTATAAAACACGGCCGCACACATGCATCCGTAGGACTCAATCAAACTACTAGCTTTATACTTACGTAATCTGGCAGTCCCCCCTCTGGGCAAAGTGTGTTTGACCACTTTTCAGTCCCAGTCAAACTGGGGTTGTGCAACCGAAAGATTTTACATATCGAGCAAGATATCTATTGGGAGATCATCGTTGACTAGGAACGAAACTCGATGTCTCAGTTCCCCTCCCTCATACGGGAAATGACACTCAATGTCTTTGAGGTAGTCAGTGACTACCATGCACTATTTATTGGCACAGGTAAACTCCACAGGTCGACTCAGGCACTGCACTTGCCCCTGTAAATGCAGCCTTTCAACGCACACGCGACTGATAAAGTTCCTCGTCGACCAAGTATTGTAGTAGGCCCCGGACTTGCGGCCGCCTATATCTACCTCGCCGACGAACAACTCACCCTTAGGAGCTTTTGCCATAGCCGTCCAAGAAGCTAGCGGGTCCGATCTAGACCACTCCTCCTCTAGCTCCTCTAAGGACTCAAACACATTCATCGAACAGAGGGTCGATTGGTCCGAATGTGTTTGCGAGATGACAATGGAGTCAATAGCTTGGGCCATCTCTCGAGATGGTGAGGGTGTGTCCACCAAATCGACCCTAGTAAGAACAACTACGATTCCTACTGGTCGGACACGTTTCCCGAAGCAGTGCCAGAACTGGTGGCTACATTGCTACCCTGGGAAGTGGAGGAGACCGACACCTGTCCCATCGTAGGCAGGATATTTTCCGTCGCCTTCTTATTCCGACACTTGAATTGATTATGGCCATATTGGCCACAACGAATACAAGCTGACTGGGAGTAACGAGCTCTCCACATGTCCTCTGTAAGACTCGCTTTCTCCCATGGAGGAACATTGGGGTCCACTAGACTCGTGGACCGGGAACCTCCGCGCCGTCTACCGATCGCCTTACCTTTCTGCACAGAAGGAGCGACTGCTCCACCCCCTAAAGCTTCTGCTCTGCCCGACTCGGACCCTACTCCCTCCTGGAAGTCAGTGTCCAACTCTATGGTAGAACCATCGTTGTCGGTGAACATAATACCCCCCTTAGGAGGCAGTGCCTTCTTCCTACCGTCCGTAGTGGGTTGGTGCCCATGCCCGATCTTTGCCTCTAGATCAAGGGCCTTCTTGCTGAACGAAGGAAAGTTGTGTACTGTGATCATGGCCTCGCCTGCCAATTGACTACTGAGTTTTATGGGAAGACATCTCGTGTAAGTGGTGAGCAAGACATGGGGGTCATAGTGCACTCCTGAAACACAAATCAAATGCTCAATTGCGTTTGTGACATCCCTTACTGACATGAACTTTCTTGAGCTCAGAGTCGGGATCACATCAATGGCCTTTTGAGCCTCCAATGGATCATGCCACCTTTCCTCCACCAGCTTGAGAAAATCATCAAATTTATGGGTGACTGCCCAAGCGCAAAAGTCATGACCGTATCCTTGTAGCTGTACGTACCCACTTAGCCACCTTGTTGCACTCCCCTCCATGTAGGAGGCAGCCACAAACACTTCCTCGTGAGGCAAGGTCAACTTGCACTTCACACAGATTGGCACTAACCTCAACCATGYGTCAAGGTCCTCACCCCTCTTATCTCCTGAGAAGGGGTTAGGAGATGCAATGGCAGTCTTTGGAACCCAATGTCCCTGTCCCGRTGCCTGCACCACTCCAGGCTGTGCTGGCTGCGAGACGGCAGGTTGCCCTATTACGGCAGTCTGCAACGGAGGTTGGGAGARCACTGTCTGAACAGGAACCTGTACACTAGGMCCTGCTGGTAACCCGCCTGTCAAAGGCATAACCAGTAGGAAAGCGGCCTGCACCGAAGYTGGAGAAACTGCAAATGGGGCTACTCCAGTTACCGGTGGGACAAAAGGAGGAGGTTGTACCACTGGCCAGGCACCGGGCCCTGATGGTGATGGTACGACCTCAACTCGCCCAACCATCACGGCCAGGCTCTGTCGGATGTCCTGCAAGAATGACGTGTGGTAGTCCTGCATCTCCACTATATCTAACAGGGTTGTCCTCACGGTCCTCACATCGTCATCCAGATTAGTTAGGTCCATCACCTCTAACTCTCTAATGTCCGC